GTAGGTATAGTGTTAGCTGTAGATTTTTTGTAGCTTGTCTTTATCAAATTGATAAAAATTGTTTTTTGAGAGTTTTTTTTTATCATTAACGGGTAGGTATTACATTTTATCAAATGCTTTTCCTGCATCATTGCTATGATCGTGGTTTTTTTTTTTAGCATGTAAATATAGCAGATTATATTGATTTTCTAATTTTGAACTAGTATTGTATCCTTGAACTAAACATAACTAAAGAGTTATGGTATATAATTCTTTTTATGTATTGCTGAATTATTTGGCTGATATTTTGTTGAGGAGTTTTATTTCTGTACTCATGAGGGACATCCTGTTGTTGGATTGGGTTGTTTTGGTTTTTTGTTTTGTTTTTGCTTGTTTTGTGCTGTCTTTGTCTGGTTTTGGTATCGGTAATTTTTTGCATTTATTGGTGTGATTAAAAAAACATAAAATTCTTATTTTGTTAATGTGAAATGCATTGATTTCTAAAATATCAAACCAGCCTTGCATTCTAGGAGTAACCAGTGAAACAATCATCATATATTTGAAAATAATATTGCTAGATTTGACTTGTTAATATTTTCTTGAGTATTTTTGGTCTTTATTTTTACAGGATATTGATTTTCTTTTCTTGTAATGCCTTTATTAGGCTCTCACAGCAGAGTTATTGAAGGCCTTATTGGACAAGTTGGGAAGTATTTTAGTCCCCTTTATTTTCTGAAAGTTTGTATAAGATTTGTGTTATTTCTTACTTATATGTTTGATAAAATTCACTGGTTAAAGCCATGCAGGACTGGAGTTTTCTTTGTGGGAAGATTTTTAGATTAAAGATTCATTTATTTTTCTTATAAGTAAACTTTGTCTTTTGGAGCAGTTTTAGGGTCACTGCAAAATTGAGCACAAAATACAAAGTTCCCATATACCCTCTGCCCCCTACACACACATAGCCTCCCACACTGTCAACATCTTACACCACAGTGATATGTTTGTTACAGTTGAATGTGTATTGACACATTATTGTTACCCAAAGTCCTTAGTTTACATTAGGGTTCACTCTTCATGTTTTACATTCTGTAGGTTTTGACAAATGTATAATGACATGTATCCACCATTATATATCCAGCTATATTAAATAGTTTCACTATCCTGTGCTCTTTCTGTTCATCCCTCCCTCCCAACTCCTGACAAGTACTGGTATTTTTATTGTCTCCATAATTTTGCCTTCTCCAGAATGCAATGTAGTTGGAATGATACAGTATGTAGCCTTTTCATACTTGCTTCTTTTGCTTAGTAGTATCCATTTAAGTTTCCTCCATGTCTTTTCATGGCTTGATAGCTTATTTCTTTTTAGCACTAAGTAATATTCCATTGTCTAGATATACTACAATTTATTTATCCATTCACTTACTGAAGGCCATGTTGGTTGCTTCCAATTTTGGCAGTTATAGATAAAGCGGTTATAAACATCCATGCTTAGGTTTTTGTGTGGACATAAATTTTCAACTCATTTGGGTAAATTTGAGTGTGATTGCTAGACCATATGGTTAAGAGTATATTTAGTGTTGTAAGAAACTGCCAAGCTGTCTTCCAAAGTGACTGCCATTTTTCATTCTTAACAGCAGTGAGTGAGAATTCCTGTTGGTCTGCATTCTTACCAGCATTTGATGATGTCAGTATTTTGGGTTTTGGCCATTCTAGTAGGCATCATTGTTATTTTAATTTGCATTTCCCTAATGACATATGATATGGAGCAGTTTTTCATATACTTATTTGCCATCTGTAAATCTTCTTTGGTGAGGTGTCTGTTCTGATATTTTGCCCATTTTAAAATCAGATTGTTCACTTTCTTGTTGAATTTAAGAGTTCTTTACATACTTTGGATAACAGACCTTTATCAGATATGTCTTTTGCAAATACTTTCAGCAAATGGTTTCCTTCTCATTCTCTTGGCAGATTCAGTATTTATATTAGAAATATGCAAATGTATAAATTTCCCTTCAGGCACTATTTTAAGTGCATCCCACAAATGTTGCTGTGTTCTATTTTCATAGAATTTGGACTGTTTTCTAACTTCCCTTTTGATTTCTTCTTTGACTCGTAAGTTATTTAGAAATGTTTTGCTTAATTTCCAGGTTTTGGGGAATATTTGAAATATCTTATTATCAACTTAAAATTTAATTCTGTTGTGGACAAAAGTATACTCTGTCTGATTTCAGCCCTTTGAAATGAATTGATACTAGTTTAAGGCCACCGTATGTTGGTGAACATTCCACGTGGACTTGAAAAGAATGTATATTCTGGAGTTGTTAGGTGTAGTGTTCTATAATGCCTTCATTATAGAACAGCGTTTTAAAAAAAAATTTTGTCCAGCATTTTTCATTGTCATCTGCAAGATGGTTAGTCTGAAATAAAACTATGCTGCATTATCAACATTTAAAAAAATATATTATTTCTTATTTACATTATAAATAGATTATAGCTTGTGTGAAATGATGTCTAGGTAAATATCTTTATCCAGTACATGTGGTTTAAAGCAATTATAAGATCTTTATATATATATGTATAATATTGCTTATCATTAATATGCTTACTCCTATGGAAAAAAAAGTTTTATTTTTTTATGCTTTATTGCCTCAGTTAAGGATGTGATAGGATATGTATTATTAAGCAACACCTGGTACAGAACTTGATATATTTGCTGAATTTAATTGAAGATTTGTCTGTTTCTCAAGGTATACTGCTTGGTTCCTTCTATCCACGGTGGTCTCACATCTGAAACATGGCTACGGATTGGCTGGGCAGTATTGTGTCCATCAACTGTGGAGATAGCTTGGGTGTCTATCAGGGAAGAGTGTCAGCAGTGGATCAGGTCAGCCAGACCATTTCTCTCACCCGGCCTTTCCACAATGGGGTGAAGTGCCTTGTGCCAGAAGTCACCTTCAGGTTAGTATCCCGACTGATCCTTCCAAATCCGATCTGTTGGTCTGTGGAGCTTGAACCCAGGTCTCATTGCCAATATTCTCTTGCATAGGGCTGTTTTTGAGTAGAGCCTTGTCAGGGGTGAGATTTTGCCATCTTAGACCTTACAGTCTTGCTACTGTTGCAGCAGAGACTGTGTCATAATTAGCTTTCGGCTGATGATTCAGGGTTTGTGAAATATTTTTCTTATCTGTTAGGCATGCAATATTATATTTAAATGCATCAAATTCAGAATAATCTGTTTTCTTTTATGGTTTCTGATTTTCTTTTTCAGTTTTATATTATTTGTGCTTTCTTACATCTAAGGTCTTTATTGATTTTTCCACCCTGCATAACTCTCTCTCTTTGTAGATTTGTATTATAGTTTATCTCTAGAGGCATGCTGTAGCCAGTAGCTAAAGTCCTTAGGCACAGGAGTGTATTTTTCTTTTCTTTTCTAGTGTTTGCCAACAGATCTCAAGCTTAGATGTTGTCTTCACATCTCTCTTTTCACAGGTTTGACAAACAACCTCCCTTTCTTAGGTTAAAAAAAAAAGACTTGGACAAGAGCTTCCTTGACTTTGTAAACCACATGCACACATAACCTTTTCTGTATGTGTATCCATTCTTGTTTTTCCCCCCATGTACCATAAAATCTTACTTTTTTAACTTTTTATAAAATTTGTTGAAATATAGTTGATTTACAGTATTGTGTTAGTTTTAGGTGTACAACAAAATGATTTAGTTATATATATTCTTTTTCAGATTTTTTTCCATTTTAGGTTATTACAAGATACTGAATATAGTTCCCTGTGCTATACAGTGGGTCTTTGTTGTTTATTTTATATACAGTTGTATGTATATGTTAATCCCAAACTTCTGATTTATACCTCCTCCCCCCCTTTCCTCTTTGGTAACCATGGTTTGTTTTCTGTGTCTGTGAGTCTATTTCTGGTCTGTAAATAAGTTCATTTGTATCATTTAAAATTTTTTTTTAGATTCCACAGAGTGATGTCTTATGATATTTGTCTTTCTGTCTCTGACTTACTTTATTTTAATATAATAATCTCTAGGTCCATCCATGTTGCTGCAACTGGTATTATTTTATTCTTTTTTGTGGCTAAATAATATTCCATTCTGAATATATATACCACATCTTCTTTATCCATTCATCTGTTGATGGATATTTAGGTTACCTCCATGTCTTGGCTATTGTAAATAGTGCTGCTATGTACATTGGGGTGCATATCTCTTTTCAAATTAGAGTTTTCTCCAGATACATGCCCAGGGGTGAGGTTGCTGGATCATATGATAAGTCTATTTTCAGTTTTTTAAGGAACTTCCATACTGTTCTCCATAGTGGCTGCAGCAATTTACATTCCCACCAGCAATGTAGGAGGGTTCCCTGTGTATCCATTCTTATTTCTTGGTTCCTCTGCAGAATCCATGGAAGAAATACTTTTGTGTTCAGGACTGACCTTATCATGTATACTTTATGTGCTGTTCTTTTTTATCTCCTTTGGGACCCTATTTCATTTTTTCTGTATCTTCACTTTCAACCTTTATACTGTCTCTTTTTGTCTTTGCACTGTAACATTCCCAGGCCTCTCCCATAATAAAAACACGCCGCCTCCACATACGCACACCTTGCATTTGTCACTGTGTATTGCCCTTTCATTCGCCTTCTCTTTATACTTATAATTCTTTTCAGAGCAAAATATGGTTGACTCTTGAATAACAAGGATGGTAGAGCGCCAACTGCCTGTGCCATCGAAAATCTGTGTGTAACTTTACAGTTGGCCATCAGTATCCACAGTTCTGTGTCTGTGGGCTCAGCCAGCTGTGGAGCATGTTGTACTGAAGTGTGTATTTAGTGGGGAAAAAAATCTGTGTATAAGGGGACCTGCACAGTTCAAACCCATGTTGTTCAAGGGTCAGCTGTGTTCTTTCATTCCCTTTGTGACCTAATTCTCTAGTCTCTCCCTGCTCCACCATTGTCTCTTTTCTAACTTTACCATCTTGCTGAACTGGCCTTTTTATCCCCCCTACCCCTGGCATTAGCTGAGCCATTGGTGCTTTGAGCACTGCCCACAGTGGCATCCGCAGACCACCATGAGAAAACCTCCATCATCTGCCTTGCTGAACTAACTTCTGCCAAGTTTGTAGATGCCCTGATTGCCAAATTCAGTGGCGGTGCCTCAATTCTAATCTTACTGTATTCAGATGTTCCTCAGCTGTTGGAATGACCTCTTCTTTTAGTTTCTTTGTCACCCCTTTGGGGTTTTCCTTCCATGAATTCCTCCAATCCCTTATACACCTTTCCCTCCACTCCAGGTTCCTTTTCTTCTGCTCACTTTTTAAGATTGGCTTAGTCAAAGTTGTGTCTTTGATTCTTTTCTTGGTCTGTAGTCTCTCTAGGCAATCTCTTGTGTACTTCCTTGCACATTCATGAAACCCCAGATCTTTAATTTAGACCTGTTATCTGAGTTCCATATACTTTAATTGTCTGCTGGTTACTTTCAGGGGGATATCCCACAAGATAACCTAAATTTAAGATTTTCAAAGCTGAGCTCATTATATTACCTGCAGATTCCTTCCTCCAAAGGTCTACCCTTAATTAGCGATGAATGACACCTTTCACCCAAGTTAGAAACTTAGGAATCATAAATTCTTTCTCTTGAACCTCATGTTCAGTTAGTCACCAAATTCTGTGGATTCCAAATGTTTTCTGGTTCGATCCTCCCCTTTCCCTTTGCATCATCACTCGCCCTGTTGTTTCTTGCCTCATCTCCTAACTGGTGCTCCTACCTCTAGGTTCTCCACCTCCCTACAGCCACCAGGAAAATCCAGTGTGATTATTATCTGGTCCCTGACTTCCTCCACAGCCTTGCCTCCTGATGGCCCTCTACAAGCATCCTTCCTTTTAGTAGCACTGTAACATTTGATTTTCCACAAATGGGCCATATTTTCTCAATCTCAGCCTTGGCCTGAGATGCCCCTCTCCCTATCATACTCTCTTTTGCCAACTCTCACTTTCCCTCCCCAAGAAGACTTAGCTTACGTGCTTCATCCATTTCTGCCAAACTAACATATGTTTTGCTTTGGGGTGCTCTAGTGCCCCGTGCCCACCTCTGTCATAGTATTTAACACTTTTGATTACCTACTTGAATTTTCTGCTGATCAGGCTGTGAGTTCCTTATGGGCATGTATTGCTTTTCATCTCCATATACCCGACTCCTAGTGTACAGCTTACCATATAGTAAGAACTCTGTACATACCTATTGAATGAGCAAGTGAGTGAGTGAATGAAAAAAAGCCATTAAGCATTTTAGACATGTAAGATGTTAATGATAGTTTTGTGATGAACCATAGGTTTCTTTAAAAGCCAGTGCTGTGTCAGTTGAATGGTGGTGACTGAGCCTTATCTTTAACTTTTCTGCCACCTTTCCTTGAAATGCAGCCCGCAAAGGTGTAGCTGGTAGCTATTGATACCAGTTTCATCACTGTTATCATTGTTATAGTTTCGAGACTTGGACTTTTTTGTGTATTTCAGGGCAGGTGACATTACAGAATTAAAAATTCTGGAGATACCAGGTCCTGGAGAAAACCAACATTTTGGAGACCTTCATCAGACAGAATTGGGCCCCTCTGGTGTTGGGTGCCAAGCAGGCGTCAATCAGAATGGCACGGGCAAGTTGGTCAAGAAGCCAGCCTCTTCCAGCAGTGCCCCTCAGAACATCCCTAAGAGGACAGATGTGAAGAGCCAAGAAGTTGCCGTTTCTCCTCAGCAGCAACAGTGCTCAAAGAGCTATGTGGACAGGCACATGGAATCCTTGAGTCAATCCAAAAGTTTCCGTCGCCGGCACAACTCTTGTAAGTTGGATCAAGTTAATTTCTTCCTAATCTGTTTCTTCTTAACTTACTTCATGTCTATTATAAGCTCTTATTCTTTGATGTTCTTTAAATAAATCTTTTATTACAGTAATAAAAAAGGATGCTGGTAGAGCTTCACAAAAATATAGCATGGTTCTTTTATTCTGGAGCTATTTCCTCAAGATCTTAAGGGAAAGGAAATGAGCTGTTAAGAGGCTCACACCAGCTCCCGGCCCTCTCTTGCCACTTACCGTACTTCAAAAAAAAGTCAGCGATCTACCTAGAGACAAAAGTAATGTTTTTAATCTGGTAACTGGTGGTAGTAGTGATCCTTGAATTGAATCTGCATTCACGCTGTTCTAGGGGATTCTTGAATAAGTTTTCTTCTTGTGATTTGACTCCCATCCTCAGAGGAGAGGAAGGGATGGGCCTGGACACCTTCTGTGATATTGCGGTTTCTGATGGATTGACAGTTTTAAATTTGCTGTATTCACTGTTCCTGCTGGCACATCAAGGAGAGCATACACTTGTGTGTGTTGAAGCCCAGTTTTGTTTGGTGCTAACAAATTGTTGAATGCTGTTTGCTCATTGTAGAACCATAGTTAATTCTCTAGAATCAGGTATGCTCTTTAACATTTTTACTAGAATAATGTTACAATAATGAATTGCAACAGATTCACTAGAATTTTCAGGGGCCAGCATTTTTAAGTTTTAGAAATGCCTGATTCTGTGTATAAACTATTGAAATTTTGAAAATTAAAAAAAATTATTGCAAGGCACTTTCCTTCAGTTTCTTAACTATCTGAATTGACAATGGCTGAGGACCTGAAACTAAGTTGAATTGTTAGTTCTTCTGTACCCTTTGAAGAACTGTGGAATGCTTGCATAGGAAATGACTTTTTAAATTTAGACTTTAACCTACTCTGTTTTCCTTTATTCTCTCTTAAAAAAAAACAAAACAACAAAAGAAAACACTTTTTTTCTTTACCAAAATTGACTTGTTAAAAGTCAAATATTCAAGCACTTTATAGTCTTACGCACTTGGTGATAATCTTCATTAGCGATTTGTAGATGATTTTTTCCTACACACTTTCTCCCTTTTATTAACAGCTTACCTTACTATGGTACATTTGTTACTTTTAATGAGCCAATGTTGATACATTAACCAAACTATTTTATTCAGATTGCCTTAGTTTTTAACTAATGTGCTTTTCACAGGCTCTCATCCAGCATACTACATTGCACTTAGTAGTCATGTCTCCTCTTGTCTCAGACTTTCATTGTTTTTGATGACCTAGACAGTTTTGATGAATACTGGTCAGATATTTTGTAGAATATTTCTCAGTTGGTATTTGATGTTTTTCTCATGATTAGCCTGGGGTGTGTGTTTTTGGAAGGAAGACCACAGAAGTAAAGTGTCATTTTTTCATCACATCGTATCAAGAGTATGTATGCTGAACATGGTTTATGAGTTTTGATGTTGACCTTGATTGCCTAACCGAGGTAGTGTATGTCAGATTTCTCCTCTGTGAAGTTCCCTTTTTCTGCCCTTTCCTTACTGTGCTCTTTGGAAGGGAGTCACTATGTGTGGCCCACACCTCAGGAGTGGAGAGTTATGCAGAGAATCTACATGAATTAGTTGGAATTCTTTTGCACCAGAGATTTATCTCTTTGCCATCTATTTATTTATTCAGTCATTTATTTTTGTCACTATGAACTTCTAAGAATTTACTTTATACTTTGGGTTATAATTCATTACTGCTTTATTTTGGTATTCAAATAGTTTCAGTTTTGGCCACTGGAAGCTTTCAGGTGGCTACTGTATCCCTTTGACATGCCATTGTCATTGTGGGTGGTTTTTTTTTCCCCCAGTACTGCTTTACTTTCTGGCCCTACAAGATGCTCCTACATTTCCTGCCCCAGCCCTAGAATCAGCCGTGTCTCCAAGGAGCCCTGTTTCCTTTTATTAGGGAATGGTAATACAAATCACCATCTAGGTGCTAGGTCTCCTCATTGCTACTGGGTGTCGCCCTTTCAGCTGACGGAGCAAGAGGATGTATACGTATATACTTCACCAGTGTGTATACACATGCCTAAAAATATTTCTACATGTAACCTTCACTACTATATTAAGCTAAATAAGAGTTCATACTGATGTCTCCAGTTCCATTACCTCTAATCCATTATCACGTGGATTATTCCAGCTGTCTTCTTATCTGTAGCCTCTTACTTGGACAGCGAGAAATCCATACTATCTGCCATCCATTGACTTAAATTATTCTGTTCCAGTAACAATATCAGAATTACTAACTCTAACCCAGACCCCCAAGCCCTTAATTGATCTGTTTCATATGTTTGTAATGGATTGTTTCATTGCATTCTGCATTCCATTTTGGGATCCTGCAACCTCCTCAGTGGTTTTTTGTTTTGTTTTTTTTTAACTTCCATACATTAAGGCTCACTCTTTGTGCTCTGAAGTTCTGGGGGTTTTAACAAACACATAGTATCTGTATCTATCATTACAGCACTAATCAGATTCCCCCGTATTTCACCTATTCTGTCCTTTCCCTCTCCCCTCCATGACCACCACCCCTCAGCAACTACTGGTAAAAAGGTCATGGGCAGTAAAATGTTGGATTCTCTTTCTGAGAATTTCTCCTGAATCCAGATTTGTGTGGACATGTCTGTGGCCTGGGAATTTGATGACGAGATGTGGCTCAGGGTTGGTTTGTGATGGGGAGCGGAGTTCCATTTACTTCTATCTGATCAGTGGGCCTGTGAGATGAGTAGAAAGGTCTGCTGGAAATTGACTTTTATGTAGCGTATTAAGGATTCCAGAGAAGTAGATTGGTTTCTTCCAACCATGGTGGTAATGTCGATTTTTAATGTTTTTTGGTGAATGAAGACGTGGAGATTATTTTTCTCGTCAGAGATCTATAAATCAAATTTTCTTTGGTATGTGTACATTGGTACGGAGACTAGCAGATTGATAAAACTGTAGGAATAGAATCTGTCTTCAATTCTGGCTTTTAATTGTTCTTTCAAGGTTAGTTATAGGTTGTTGAGGGATTTGTTGGTTTTAGTTGCCTAATCCGACATTGATGAGAGGTCAGCACAAGCAGGTTTTAATCTCTTTTATGTAGGGGGGTTGGGAGGGTGGGTATAAAGACTAGTTTCTGTGACCTTGCTCACTGAACCGACCATTCAGAGTAGTTGTCAAATGAATGGAACATCAGTCCAGGGAGCAGAGGGAAACCACTGGA